CTCAGCACCCCCCAGCCCCGCCGGCCCCCCGGCCCGCTCAGCACCCCCCGGCCCCGCCTCCGGACCTTGCACCGCTGGAGCAGCTCAGCTGGAGCCGGGTAGGAGAAGTGCCTGGCTGGGGGCTCGGGGTCCGGAGGCGGGGCCGGGGGGTGCTGAGCGGGCCGGGGGGGCGGCGGGGCTGGGGGGTGCTGAGTGGGCCGGGGGATGCTTGGCCGGAGGTCCGGGGGCCGGCGGGGCCAGGGGGTGCTCGGCCGGGGCCGGCCCAGGCTGGAAACGCGGGGGGGGGCAGCCTGGGCCGCTCCTCCTCCCCCCACACACCCCCCTTACCTGCTTCAGGCTTCCCGCGAATCAAATGTTCGCGGGAAGCAGGGGAGGGGGCGGAGTTGGGGCGGGGACTTTGAGGAAGGGGCGGAGTTGGGGCGTGGGCGTGGGCGGGGGTGGGGGTGGGTCCGGGGTCCGGTGGAGTGTCCTCCTTTTGGAGGCTCGAAATATGGTAACCCTACTCTAAGGAAATTAAGCGTTTAAATGATCCGCCACATGTCCTGCGTCCCACTAAAATGAATCCAACCCACAGGTCACATGGGCAGAAGTATCGGTGTCAGGATGCTCCATTGTTAGCACAGTAAATGAAGTGGCAAAATAAATGATGTTTAAATGACCTCACTCTATTTTTTACAATCCTGTATTAAGAGGTAATAGATACAGATGTGCACCAGGCAGGGTCGTTTGGAGGCCAAAGACTTTATGCTTCCATTCCCCACCACTGTCAAGTTTTAGCAAATTAGGACAAGTCAGCAAATAAGAACAACCTCCGGTATCAGTAACTGCTACAGGTAGCGAAGTCCTACAGGTAGCAGTTCTGGCAATACACCTGTGCAGCTCTGCTCCCCGGCTCTTCTTGAGCTCCTGCTCTCTGCTTAGCTCGGCCCCCTCTGGCTCAGGCAGTTCCAGCTCACATGGAGGATGGGACCCCCTGGCCTGGCCTCATCAGACTGCCTGGCCTGTCAATCAGGCTGACCTGGAGCTTTGGCCGTTCCCCATTGCCCCAGGGGACTGTCAGTCTCAGGGTCCTGATTTCCCATTGGCCCTTCCCCCTTCTATTGGAACTGGGAACTAACCAACCAAAAAGCCCCACTAAGTTTAAGTAAGGGATCAACTGTCCATTACACAAGCCAGCCCTGTGAGGATCATCAATCTCCAGAAAAGGCAGCACAAGCTGGTCCCATGGTGTGATGGTCAGCACTCAGGACTCTGACTCCTGCAATCTGAGTTCAAATCTCAGTGGGACCTTGTGGTAAAGCCTGGGAGCTCACAGTGCTCATCTTCCCTGTCTCTAGTTGTACAAGAATGAGTCTTTCCCATCGTGTCTGGCGACTCACACCCACTGGGGCCAGGCTAATGGCTGCAATGGGTTTGGGCTCTAGAAGTGGCTACTGATGCTTGACTGGCTGGTTGGGATTCTCACTGCTTCAGCTGAGGCCCACAAGTTTGGCCCTGGCACTTGCTGCTGTGCTTTTCCTCTGGCTCTTGAAGGAAGCAGTGCCAGGGCTGGGCTTCATAGTCAGGAGGGGGAAGAGTCCCAGGCTGGAGCCCAGCACACCTTTCCGCCTCTGGGCACCTAGAGCAGAGGCAGCTGGTGCTGACAGCTCCAAGGGAAGGCTTAAAGGCCACAGAGCAGTGGAGGAAGAGGAGGGGAGGACCATGCTTATGCGTGGCCAGGAGACAGCCACAAAAACACCCAGCCAGGCTGCTCCCTGGCATGCCGAACCCCCACTGAAGGCCACCAGCCACCCAGCATGTGGGGCAGCTGCTGTTGCTCTGTGGCCAGCATCAGAAGACGGTAGGAAAGCAGGGCCAGCCCCCCCCCCCCCCCCAATGGGGCCAATGTCCATTCCCACTCAAAGTGTTCAGTTTGGCAGTGGGGCAGGAGATTTTACTCCAAGAGGCTTTTCCCCAGCTGGCGAGAAGTGGAGAAACACGCAGGCTCCCAAGGCGCTATTTAGCAAGTCCCCTCAAGCACAGGGACAGGCGCATATTTGGAAGAGGGAAACTGCTCCACACACTAGCCCAGGCAGCCGCCCATTTTCTTTGGCAAGTCAGGAATGGCAAAGGCTAGACTGGAAGCACCTGGGGCTCACACCCCAGCCTTTGTGACGCCCAACCCCCAACTCCTTCCCGGGGCTCTAGCTGAAGCCAGAGGATTGGCCTGAGTGGCCAAGAAGAGGTTCCAGCCCTAAATAAAGCAGGACTTTCAACCAAAGTAAGCACAACCACGAGGGGACTCAAATCCTGAATCATCTGATCCACAGGGAGATGCTTTATCCTTTAGGCCACATGATGAGTGGGTCTAAGCCCTTCTTTGGAAAAGACGGACACTGTGTTTCTTGGGTCATCTACTGAGGGGCAATGAGACTCTCTGGGCACAGGAAGTCGAGTTCCCAGCGAGATGTGAGACTTAATTCTATAGAGCCAGGTGCAGGGCTTTGGCAGGGAGGCTCAGGCGTGGGGGATTGGGGTGCAGCGGACGGGCCGGCTGTCTAGGTGTGGAGATTTAGTGGTTTTGAGGAGGAGGAATCCTGCTGATAGGCAGTGGCCTTGCAGAAAAAGAGGAGGGGTTCCAGGGACTTTTTTTGCCTCTCTTTTGCCTACCTGCTTGTTCTCTCTTGGGGTGAAGGGGGAAGATGGCCTCAGCAAGCCTAGCTAGTTCAGTTGGTACAACATCACGCTCTTAATTTGAGGGTTCAGGGTTCAAGCCCCTCTCCAGATGCTCAGCTTTTAAGTGGCCTTGTGTGCCTGGAGACACACATTTTCGGGTGGTGTCCAGAGCCACACACGGATTCCCAGAAGCCGTGGCCATTTCCGGGAAAGGTTCCTTTCTGTTGCTGAGTCCTTAGAAAGCAGGATAGAAGCCCACATCTGTAGCAGCAGGCCCAGAAAGCGCAGTCCCTGGTTGGCGGGAAGGGCTGTGGGGGCAGGCACTGGGAGTGAGAAAGCAGCATAGAGAGGGGAGCAGAGAGAGAGAGAAGCTGTGAGTGCAGAGTACAAACCTGCCAGCTGAGGGTCACAGGTGTTTAGAGAATGTGACACCATCGGGTCCCGTGGCATAAAGGTCAGCTGTCAGATCGCTGAATACTGCAAGCTGAGCTCAGATCTCAATGGGACCCGTTGCTTCATACCTAAGCACAGGTGGAGTTTCAAGGCTTTGTCTTGCTCTTTCAAATGATGTGGGAGCCGGTATTTTGCCTGCTAGCTGTTGTGACTTGCGTGCCAGAGGGATGTCGGATCCAGTAGGCTGGCCTTGCCTGGAGCCCTATAGGGAGGGATGGGAGCTGGGTTTACTCTGTGTCCTGCAGCTGGGCTGCAGCCTGGCCTAGGAGGCAGCCCACTTGGTTGACCTACTGGCCCAAAGTCATGTTGGCCATGTTGGTCTTTACCCAGGAATGCTGAAGGGTGGGCCTGAGGGAGGGAGACTCAATCCTCCCCTATATTAGTCAGGGCTGGAGAGAAGGCTGTAAGAGCAGCCAGGTTGCGGAGCTGGGCCCGCTAGAGTTTGGGGAGAGTGGAGTTGACTGGGGCAGGGTGCTGGCAAAATGCCACAGGGTGTTAGAGGGAGGCGCAGGCCAGGGCTGGGGCTGGGAAGAGCGAGAGAGAGAGATTAGCAGGTTTCCTCTTTTGTTTCCTATGCTCTTTTTCTTCACTAGTTTCTCCTCTGCACAAACTTGCTCTTTTTTTGTTGTGAGCCTGGCTAGGTCAGTTGGCAGAGCATCAGACTTCTAATCTGAGGGTCCAGGGTTCAAGTCCCTGGTCAGGTGATAAACTAATCATAAAAATCTCTTTCTTTGGAGTCCTCCTGGATGTTACTTTTCTCTTCAGGATTCTGCCTTTCCTAAAACGGGCCTTTTGTGTTTGGGATTGAAGGGGCAACTTCCTGACACCCCCTCTGTCCTCGCAGGTGGGAGGAATAAAGGCCTCTGGGCACATAGCAGGTTCCTCCCAGATGGCTGAATTCTCCCGTGGTGGAGATGGAAGCTCTGTCTCCTTGCCTCTGTTTCTGCCTTCCCGTGGCTGTGCTGATCTGGCTGGCCTGTCTGAGACAGGGTGTGAGGAATGTTTGGAGCTTTTGCTTCGTATTGAGGGCTCCCTCCTCCAGCAGAGCGGTGTGGACTCTGCGGAGAGCTGGAAAGAATTGCCCCATCAGCGTTAGGTGCTCACCCAGCTCTTGGCTTTCCTTTGAGGGAGCGGTGAGGAGGACGGGGCTCAGGCCCCCCAGATGGAGAAGGGTGCAGGTGTCGGGGCTGCTGGCCGGGACCTGGAGGAGCGTGAGAGGTCTGCGAGAGGCCACCTCTCCCCAGGAATCAAGTGAAGCTGAGCAAGGCAGGGAAAAGCGAGTCTTGTCTTCATGGGCTGCTCACAATGATGTCCTTTTTGTGTGCCACGGCTGCCAAAACATCCCAGATGGAGAAGCAGCAGGCCAAAAGACTGCCATGCATCTGCCGAAGTAGCTCAGTTGGGAGAGCATTAGACTGAAGATCTGAAGGTCCCTGGTTCAATCCCGGGCTTTGGCAGGCCCTTTTCTCCCTCTCTGTGCAGGTGTGGCTTGTTTTCTGGGAGCAGCGCCTTTAGCTGACATGAGTCTATGCTCCCAAACCAGATAACAGAACGTGGGCTTCTGCCCCTAGTTAGCCCACCTGATCTTTAACAATGAGAGACAGGAGCTGTCTTTCCAACATGACTTATTGGTCAACCCAATCTGGTGGGAAGAGATGGTGCCAGAGGGGGCAGGGCCTGGAGACGAAAGCTCCTCTGCACAGCTGAGTGAGGGCAGTACTGGGGAAGGGGCATCTGTAAAAGTGGCCACATGGAACGTGGCAGGGATTTGGGGGCCCAGGAGGAGGCGCTTGATGTTCAATGCCTTGGAGCAGCTGGACTTGGACATGGTGAGTGTTCAGGAAATGCTCATTAATTACTTTAGAGTAGCTCGATGGGCAGAGGGTGATTGGAGGAAGGATCCGTCTTTCTGGTCCTCCAGGCCAGGGAAGAACGATGGGGTTGGACTCTTGTTCTTCACATTCGTGGTGCGAGTACAGAGGTGGTGGAGCTCTGACTAGGGACCTAATTACTGGTGGACTTTGTGCTCCGTGGCACTGGTTACCACTATATTAGTGTTTATGGTCCCCAGTTAAGACGTGAAAGGAAAGATCAATGGAAGGAACTGCCTCCCTTCCTCTGGACCGCACGGTGTTTGGTATTGGGGGGGATTTTAATTGTGTCAGCCGGTCTGAGGACCACTGGTCCCGTTTTCCCAACCATCAGAGGAAATGTTTTTACAATGAGCACTACCTGGCGCAGGTCTGTAGCGAGATCGGCTTAGAGGATGTGTTTCTCCCTAGTGGAACCATTGGAGGGATGGCGCTAGCCTCCTATTCCTCTGACCCAAGCTCACACCAGCTGCAGATGGGGTACACCTTTCTGCGGGGACAGGCCAGGAATCACATTGACCAGATTTACGTGAAGGAGAGCACGTCAACAGCCCAGTGCAGGGTGGCGCCAATGGACTCTTCAGATCATGCAGCTCTCACCGTGTGCTCAATGTGGGCAATTCCCTGACCCACGGCAGAGGATATTGGAAGCTGAATATCCAGAGCTTGCAAGTTAAAGGGGCAGGGCGATGAGGCTGGTGGTGTTGGCAGAACGGGAAAGTATCAGAGGGTTCTATGGCAACCTGGGGGGTTGGTGGGAGTCGGGAGGGAGGAGTTGGCGGCTTTGTCGCCCGGCGGTCGGGCAAACACCACAACATTAAAGAAACCAACAGTGCCAAGTCCTGCAGCGTCGCCTGTGGGATTTCCACAAGAGCATCCAGGCAGGGGAGCCAGTCAGTGTGTGACTGTACAACTGGATCAGGTGACAGCTGGCCGAGTTCCAGGAGATGAGGCTGCAGCTGGCCAATTTGAGCGGGACCACTGAGTGAATGGAGGGGCGGCCTCCCCTGACATTTTTGCGGCCTGCAGAGAACAGAGACAAAGCAGGGGGATGCTGGGACTCAGGGCAGGACCCGCGGACCTGGTAGTGCAGGACCACAGTCGATGGAGCAGGAGAGAGAGTCCTGCGAGAGGAAGCTGCTAGTGGGAAGCAATAAGTGCAGAGTGCAAGCCAGCCAGCCGAGAGTCACAGGGGTCTAGAAAGTGAAATAGTAGCAGGTCCCATGGTGTAATGGGCAGCACTCAGGACTTTGAATCCTGGAATCTGAGTTCAAATCTCAGTGGGACCTGGAAATATGTTGGTTTGCTACAAAGCCTTGGAGCTAAATGTGCTTGGCTACTCTGTCTCTGGGTAAAGTAGAGTGTGTTTTTTTCCCTCCTGCTGGGTGACTGATGCTCACTGGAGATAGGTCTTTGGTGCAGCTGGTTCAACGGGATGGCCACTATAGGTTGGGGTCCTAGAACTTAACAGTCTGGCTAGAGATTCCTGCGGGTTGATCTGATGATTGTGTTTCTCACTGCTTCACCTGACGTTCACAACTTTGGTCCCTGTACCTGCACCCGCCACACTTTTCCTCTTGCCCACGTGGCATTTAAAGGAAGGAGTGCCAGGGCCAGGATTCATAGTCAGGGATAGGCAGGAGGGAGGAGGAGTCCCAGGCTAGAGCCCAGCACACCTTTCCTCCTTTGGTCACCTAGAGCAGAGGCGGCTGGTGCTGATAGCTCCAAGGAAAGGCTTAAAGGCCACAGAGCACTGAGCACAGGGCAAGAGGAGGGGAGGACCATGCCTATGCATGGCCAGCAGACAGCCACAAAGACACCGGCCAGCCTGCTCCCTGTCCCTGGCATGGCAAACCCCCACTGAAGGCGTGCTTAATCCACTTGATGAGCGGGAGGGAAACCTGCCAAAATCTGTGTGCAAGGAGAACCCGCTTGGCTCAGAAGGGAGCGAGGAAAAAGAGGCAGTGAAAAAAATAACTAGCGAGAGAGAGAGCGAAAAGAATGTGAAAGGCAGAGAAAGAAATAAAGGGAAAGAAAAAATGTAAGCAAAAGAAAGCAAGAACATGCAAGCTAGAGAAGGAAAGGAACCAAAAACAGTGAATGAACCAACACGAGTGCTAGAGAAAGCTGGAATGGGACAATCAGAGAAAGAAGGACAGACTGAGCTGTTAAGCAAGGTTGCAGCCCAGATTCTCCATGTTGGGGGCACAGGCCCACTCCCCATTTCCATACTGGCCTGAGATCCTTTCTGCCAAGCTTGGGGAGAGAGAGGAACTGAACGCAGCCCAGCGTGATCCCAGTGCCAGTTGGAGCAGGCATGCCCGCACCTGGAGGACCATCTCCAGAACCTACCTTGATGTTGCCCTCCATCGCCGCTCCCACACGGAGCTCCCCGCCTAGACCTCTGTGTATGAGGCGAGGTGGTGCACTGGCAAAGGGGGCTGTTTGAGTGGGGCTCTGTGTGTGTGTGTATGTGTGTGTGTGTGTGTGTCCAATTTTGGGAAGTGACATCACAAACTGCTGGGGCTGGTTTCCTATTGGTGTGATGGATTTTTGCAAAGCTTTTTTTCTTTTGTCATCTTGTTTTGGCACTAGGGCTGGGTGGCTTTCTGTGCTGCTGTTGCCGAGGTCAGTGGCACAAGGGGCTCAGGGAGGAGAATCAGGGAGCCAGGCGGGAAGGGTGCACGGGGGGTCACAGGGATAAGAATCACATTTAGCCCTTGCACGGCAATGGTGGTGCACTCACTGCCACGCCTTCTAGTATCACGACTATTAATCTGTATGAGAGCAGCACCTAACAAGACCGGGGCAGAATCAAGGTCCCCCATTGTGTGGGGGCTGCCCAGACACAGAGACGGGTCCTGCCCCAGCTGAGATCAGGACCCCATTGGGTCAGGCTCTGCCCAGACACAGCGAGAGACAGGCCATGCCCCAAAGAGTTTACAGACTCCATACCCAAAAAGTGGGTGGAGAAACTGAGGCCCAGTGTTACACAGCTGCACTGAGAATAGAACCCAGGAGTCCTGGCGCCTCCTGCTCTAACCACTAGACCCCGCTTTGCTCCCAGAGTTGGGGATAGAACCCAGGAGTCCTGGCTCCCCAAAAGGGGGGGAGTGGGGTCTAGTGGTTAGAGGAAGGAAGGCTGGGAGCCAGGACTCCTGGGGTCCATTCCCAGCACTGGGGTTAGAGGCGGGTCTGGTACATTAGCACAGGGGAGGATGGGAGCCAGGACTCCTGGGTTCTTCCCATCCCCCCCTTAACCATCTCGCACAGCAGGAGGGTGCTGAGCAGGAAGTGGTGATGGGGTGAAAACTACCAAGAAATGTAAATCCGCAAAGGAGCCTGTGCCAGGAACCGGGTGGTGCAGAAACCACGGCCCCCTCCCCACCTCTAACCCCCCCTTGGCTGGCACTGGATCGTGCCCCCTCTACCCTGAATCCACCCCCTATGAGCCCTACGGGGGGCAGGAAATAGCAACAGTGCTGGGCACCCCATCCAATTGTTAAGTGTCACAGTGACCCAAAGTGGGGCAGCAGGGCACAGGTGCAGGGCGCTGGGCTCCGATGCACCTGGAGGGCAGCTCAGGTGAGGCAGGGCAGGGCCTGTGGTTCCCATTCTGCATTGCCTGGTGCTGGGACGTTGCACAATCCCCAGGCACACCGCACAGAGCGCCCTGAGAGGGGGCAGGGGGCCAAGCAGATGATCCAGCACGAGGGGGGAGGATATGTGGTTGTGGGGAGGGAAGGCCTTGGGCTGCACTGGGGGAGTGGAGAGCAGGGGTGACACCCCAAAAACCTGCAGCAAAGGGATGGGCAGGTGGGGTGGGTGGATAGAAGAGGCAGCGAGCCTAAAATCTAAAAGGGGAGTGGGGTCTAGTGGTCAGAGTTGGGGAGCTGGTGGTCAGAATTCCTGGGTTCTATCCCCAGCCCTGGGAGGGGAGTGGGGTCCAGTGGTTAGAGTGTGTGTCGGGGGGAGAGCCAGGACTCCTGGATTCTCTCCCTGGCTCTGACTCTCTCTTGTGCAATCCCTTGGCAGTTACCCAACTCGCCAGCATGTGTGAGTGAGGGGCTGGGGCGACACGGCCCAGAGTCCCGTGCTGCCCCTTTGTTACTCAACCTGGGGCAGGGTGAGGGATGGCCTGGGAGACCCACTAAGAAAGGCACTTCCGGAGGGTTTGTGTGTGGGTCACGCTGCCCCCTGTTGGATACACCCCTCTAGGTGAGAGCCATGGGCCCCTTTAGCCCAGTCTCAGCCCTGGTTAGACCCTGGGAGCCCACGCCCCTCTGTCGCCACGGCTATGTCTATTGATCTCTTGGAACGGTCCATTCTCATTGGTAGCTGTCCAGTGGCAGTGAGTTCCACAGGCCTCGGCACATGCTGTGTGGGACAGGAGGTCCTTCTGTTGAATGCAGTGGGAGGGAACTCTGTGCAGTTGTGTCTCTGAGCATGATTGTGAATACTGTGGTTGGGGGGAAGGGAATCCTGTTCCCAATACCCATTTAATACTAAGTTCTCACACAGAGACATTCCTGATACCGAACTCATGAGACCAAACTTTGCACCCAATCTCAGCCATGAAACCAAAA